GGGGGGGAAAAAAAAAGAGGGGGAAAAAAGGGGCAAAAAAAAAAAAAAAAAAAAATTCAACACAAATTTATATTTACAGTTTTGTTTTTTGTTGCATTGCATTTTTCTGAAATATAGTAATTAATATGCAAATGAATGATGTTAAAAATTGCTAAAGTCAAGGGAGCTGTGTTAGTCTAAAAAACAACATACAGCACCAGCAATTAACAGGCTTTACTAACACATATTATTTTATTTTTTATCACAATGATTAATAACAAAAAAATTAATATAAGTAAAAAACTGTGAGGTTGAATGAATAAATGAGAGTGTTTCACTGTAACATAATACTATAACCCTGGCTTCAAATCCCAGGGCTTTGTCTTGTAAACACAGATATTCTCGGACAAAGTCAAATCTACTATGTACATACAAAACAAATCAAATGGGACATAAACATTTTAATTAAAACATCATTAACTATTATAATTTTAGGTAGACTTTTGGCAGCATGAATAAATATTACTTAACATGGATGCATTCATAAAACATGAAAAATGTGCTTTGAATCATCAAATACAACATTATTGAATTACAATAGCTAATCTTAATCCACAATTTATCAGTGGCAGATCCAGGAATTTGAAATAGACCTTAACTGATGGAGGGTCCAGATGATTGAGGCTGATGGAGGGTCCAGATTATGGATCTAAATGGCCGTACGCACAGGCTTATTTTAGGCCAAGTTAAAAAAATACATGTTTCTCATCCCCGCCCGCTTCTGTTTTTGGGGCCGACTCCTATTTTTTGTTATTATTTTTTAATTTCAGAAAAAGAAATAAAAAATAAGCCCAAAAAAAACCCTATAAATAACACATTTTTGGTAAATACATCGTGCACCAAAGTTTTTATGGCCTATACATATTGTTCTCAAACATTCACATATGATAATTATGAAGTTTAATGCCTGAAAAATGATGACTAGTCGATGGCCTAGGCCCAAATTCGTTATGATGCGCAACCGCCCTTGTGATCTTCCAATCTCACAGGCTGGCGATGAAAATGATCGTACGACATCGCCAAAGCGACCGAGGTTGTAGGCATAGCTATAGGCCTCGATTATTATTGGGTTGCAAATTTCTTGATACACTAGCAAATGTTTTATGGTCCATATAGGCCTATATTATACATTACACCTAAATAGGTCATCCTAACGTTTATATATTGTTGGTGGAACATGGCAATCTGATCTTGGGGAAAAAATAACAAAAAACCATAAATAACAAAATAAAAGAAAATAATGAATATCAAGTGCCTCCTCCTTCCTTTATTCAGAAAATCCGGACAAGAAACGTGTATTTTTTATTATTTAGCCTTAATTCCATTTTCCTTTTTGTCATTTTTTTTTTATATCCCAAAAAAATTAGGGGGTCTCTCCTTGAATATGCCTCTGTTTATTTATAACAAATTCTAGAGAAAAAAAATGATTGATAAAGATAGAGAAATCAGATGATCAAATAACTTCACACTATCATCAATATTATCTAATTTGCTCAGAATACTCCATTTTAAGTCGTAAAAATGAAATAAATGTAATTTAATAATTCTATGTACATTTATAAGAAATGGCAGACAATGGTCTAACCTACCTGACCACAGCACCCCAGACTCGACTAATAAAGGATCAGCGCATAGCCCCATATATTCACTGTCTTTACAGTTTGGCAACACCCTCCTCTCCTGTCGGTTCTTAATTATTCATGTATCATACTTAATTATTTGGTGCGTGGTAGCATTTAGTAAGATTCATTCAGATAAGCACTAAATCTGTAGATCGCAAGAGCTAGACTAATAACATAGAGGCTGTTAATTACTTGTTGTTTTAAAAACAATGATACGAGGCAAATTCTTGAAAAACCCTTTCTTAACGAAGGGAAACAAAAACCTGAACTACCGACGGTCTAGCAGACAGCACATTTTCTCATCAAAAGATGACATCCGCAGACATCAACACATCACTGTGCGCACACAGACGACAACAATAGCTGAATAATGTTGCTAATTATCACAGTGTTAAGGGTAGCATAAGTATACGATGACATGTTGTGAGTATACATTATTTACTTACCGCAAGATGGAAAACCTGACGATATTTCCAAAGATAAATCCTGTAGTTAGCAAAATGAAAAACAATCACTCTTCCCTCCTGCTGGTTGGAGTAATAATGTTGAGTTGACGATAAAGTAATTTGTTGACTGGGGACGGCTAACTCTAAAATGGCGCCCTCTCTAGTTAAGAAACGTTTCATCTCTAGCCCCTTTCCTACTTTTTTATGTTGGATAGGGCATACCCTGGATGAGTCGTGGGAAAAAGAGCGAGCTTATTTTTTTTCGAAATGAGCTCATTTGTTGATAAAGTCGCACTTATTACAGGTTAGTCAAACTAAAGTTCAATTATGGAATATGTGTGATCTAGTAGGCTAGGCCTAGGCCTAATTACTCCATTGTGTGATGTATGTTCGTTACGTAACGTTAGGCAATAGGAGTAGGCTAGGTAGTGTAGGGCCCGGCCTAGGCCTATATAATGGGATGCTAGATCGGGCCTGTGTAGATAAGACTCGAGGCCTCCTCCTTCCCACCTACCTACCCTAAGCCTAGGCCAGGCCCGAGTACTGTAGTATGTTGAGCTAGGTTCTGGTTGACTACTGGTATGATTATGAGGGTTAGTGACGTATACTTGAGCCAGAACTGGGTGCTTGTTTCCATTTTGGGGCAACTAAACAAAAGTGCCATGACATAGGCCTGTAGCCTAGCCTAGGTAGGTCCCTATGTAGGCTATATGACTAGGCCTAGGCTATGTATTTATTCATAGAGAAAGAAAAGATGTATTAAAGCCCCATTCCTGGCAAAATTTCACATTTCACATTACACATAAGGTATCCACCTACACATGACCTCCACCAAAATTAGAAAGGTCAACTGTTGCTTGACAACATAGTGTCTACTGCACCCTGTGGGGGCAGTAGAAACATAAATGGCCGACATATTTTCTGTTGCTAGTTGATACTTGTGAAATATAATATTTCATTAGAATTATTTCAAATTTTTGAAAACATGATTCTGACCAAGATTTTGACAATTAAACATCTCAGGCCTACTCGGCTAAACTAAAATTTACACCAATATTTTTCCATGGTTTATAATAATTAGAGTAATGCATATGTATTTTTTTCTTTTAAAAAAATCTTATTTTAGTGAAATTTTGCTGGAAATGGGCTTTAAATCCTGGTGTACTGAGGCTGTTACTTACTGTCCATTCCTTGTAAATGCTGCTGCTCATATATATTTGATATTTATTTAATATTGATTAAATGTACGGCACGAAAATATGCAGTTTCAGAATCGGGTAGGGGTGACAAGAGGGATCTCAACACACTATGTGGGTTCTCTCTGACCACCTAATCTGCCAATTCCATTATTGAAATTGCTTTATGATTCTTCAAAGAACATATTCTACAATTTATTTATATAATATTCCAGGTGCAAGCTCAGGTATTGGGGCAGCAACAGCTCTAGAATTTGCTTCAAAAGGATGTTGTGTGTCGCTGATTGGTCGGAACCAAGCCAGACTTGAATCAACAGCCAGGATGTGCCAAGAGGCTGGGCTTGCAGCAGACAAGGTTTACAGATTATATTTCACATTAACAACATAGACCTTGTAGGTTTTTACACTACAGTAGTTACTTCAAATATCCTAATCATCTTAGCTATTTTATTATTCATCAATTATTGTTATTAGCATTATTGTCAACATTTGTTATCATGAAATGTTGCTGTAGCTTGGTGGTGATAAGAATAAGATGCTCACCTTCAAATCCGAGTCCCGTAATCACTGCCATTGTTGTTGTCATTGTCATAAACATCATCACTCTTATCATTACCATCACCAAGAGAATATTACATTTAGTACTGTTTGCATCATTCAAACCTAATTGATGCGAGTGATGGTAAGAAGAGCCACAAAAGATAAAGGAATACAGTTAGTGAAAAAAACCTCTGAATTGCTCTTAACATTTTTACATTCTGCAGGTGTTGGTTCTTCAAGGTGATATGTGTAATGAAGAAGATGTTAAACGCTTCGTCAAGTCTACTTTGGACAATTTTGGTAGATTAGACATTTTGGTAAATATATTTCAGTACCTTAAATTCATGTAACTTAAATATTTTTTTAAAACAGCATCGTAGTCCAATTTTAATGTATTCATTCAGTGATTTAAACAACAAAAAAGGAATGATAAAATTGCATGAATTTTGGTGAAAAAAGTAGCCAAGAAACTAAATTGTGATTGTCTTTAAAGATAAGAATGGGAAACAATAACTTAATAAAGAGCTTAACATTCAGGAGGTTAAAAAGTATATTTAGGGCATTGAGTATTCTTCTGTGTTTTTCAGGTGAATAATGCTGGAATGGGAAACATAAACACAATTGAAACTGCTTCTTCAATGGAAACATTTGATGATGTCTTCAACTTGAATGTCAGATCTGTCGTACAAATAACTAACCTTGCCGTTCCTTCATTAATTAAATCTAAAGGTAAACAATTGCTGAAACCTTAAATTACAAAGTGTATCTTTTTTTGCAGAACCACAGTGGAATTAGTTTTGACATACAAATATTTATTTTCTCAGGTGCCATTGTCAATGTATCCAGCATATGTGGTACAAGAGCTGTAAGTAATACAACATATATTGTATAAATGGTGGTGTAAAAGTGTGCAAGTGGAACTTTGGTGCGTTATTAGCAAAAAGTGTTTTTTCAAGGATTATTAAACTTTGTGATTTTTCCAAATTTATTTTCATAGCAATTTGTTTCAAAGCTGTATAAGGCTGTGCTGCGCTGCAGACAATTTTTAAATTTTATTTTTTCATTTTTTTTAAATTTTTTGGATAGGCTTTTTATGCTCGTTTTTACTTTCAGAGAAGAGAGACATATTTATTTCATTTCTTTTTTTCCTTAAATCAGTGGAGAAACTTTGTACAGCTTTTTGTTTAACCTATCTCTGAATTTTGGTCTGTTGTTATTTTTGTTTGTAATGTTTGACAAAATAAATGAAATTAAACATACATTGCAATGAGTTTGGTGTGTTAATAGTTTTGTCTTTATGGACTATAAATATGCAAAAAAAAACAAAAAACAAATATACAAATGATAAAGTTAAGGAGACTGTAAATTGCATGGAATCTTAAAGTCTCACAGTCCTATATTTTTTTCCCTGTCATTCAACTTTATTCCAATGTTTCAAAGCACTTATTGTTATTATTTGTATGTTTTCTTACAGGTACCAAATATGATTATATATAATATGTCAAAAAGTGCTCTTGATCAGTTTACTAGAGTCACTTCCCTCGGTAAGAATTATGTCCATTGTTCTTTAAATAATATTAATATTATTATTCTAGATTTATAAAGCACCTAATGTTGTGAATTCTCTCAGCACTGCCCAGAAAAGAAAACCAGAGAAATCAATCTTGGAATGCTTTTTACAGAAAAAATGCTATTAACATTTTCAACTGCTTTCTTTTATCAATCGATTAAATAATTTTGGTTTTTTTTATGGGATTTACTGCATTGTTATATCATCATATTTACTCTCACTGGAGTGTCTACGGGGCTTGGGGTGCATGCCCCTTCAAAAATGACTCCAGCAAGTAATTTTTTTTTTGTGGAAAATGTTTACTTGTTAATTTGTGTTTCTCAACTAAATTTTTAAATCTTGTCTGAATCAGATTTTTGTTTGAAACATTTTCAGAACTGGCTCCAAAAGGTGTAAGGGTTAATTCTGTCAAGTAAGTAAAGTTTAAAGTTGATAGTTAAATTTATTTCATTGCTTAGTTCAGGGGCAGACTGGGATTCATTTAGTTACCAGTGCAGTAACTAAATGAAGGGCGCTAAAGGCTGGGGGGTGCCAGTGTTTCGGCACTTGGAGGTATTAGAGACAATTCAGTAACATTTATATAATTCCGATTGCGGTTTCCTTGCGTTTCACTTGGAGGACTGAATGCAAGTCACAATAGCACACCGTCTTTTAAGCAGTTGGTCATATGTACGAGCATAGAGGAAAAGATTGTCTCCCAGTATATTATCCAAACTTATTGCCATCCAGATCACAGATTAAATATAAAAGATGACATCATCAAAATTTGGCTGATTGGGTATTAAAAGTTGTGTACATTTTAAAGTCCTAAGCTAATGCATTGAGTGGAGTCGAAAGTGGTGTTTATTAGATCGTCTAAAATGTAATGCAGTTAGCGTAGAAGATACTTTTTATAACAATTTATACATTTTGAATGATTCATAGATTCATGAGATTAAGGTTGATTTGATTTAAATTTCCATTCAGACTATTATCAAACTTGGTAATAGGAGATTTCTCCAGTCAGGTTTAATCTCCTTTACAAATACAAATAAAGATTAAAAGTATACCATAACAAAAGATAATAATAATATTAAAGAAATGTACATTATTCTATATATTCTTTAAATAAATAATTTTTAAGTTGATCTTTAAAGGATTTGTGAAAATAACACTACAAAATTCAACAGAAATGTTATTCCATAACTTTGATCCTATAAAACTAATCATAAACTTTCCTAAAGAAATACGAGCTTGAGGTAAACGCTAAATTAAAATCATTATTTTATCTTGTAGTATGAGAATGTGCAATAGGTAAAAAAGTAATCAGTTAATGTATGAAAGTTCGCTTATTGCAAATATATGAAATAAATTTGAGAACATGTAATTCTATGTAATTTATAAATTTTAAAATGCGATACTTCTAACATGCTTTTTTGTAAAATTCAAATATACAGCACTAGCCCAAACATCAATGCCATAAGTTATAATTGGTAAATGAAAATTATAAATCATAATTAATTTTTTTCTAGGAACAAAATGTCCCAACCTGCCTTTTTTCTAATTTTTGCAATTGGATGTGGCACTGTAATTTTATAGGAATTAATTGTCAGTTTGTTTGCATTGCACCAATCTTTTGAATGAAATAAATTTAGTGTCTTCAGCAAACAAAAGAAAATTTTTAAAAATGGAGGAATTTGGAATTTGGCTAGACTCGCGTTCACGCAAGGAGGATATGCAAAAATATTCCCTTCACTCCATTCCGTATCTAGCGGGTTAATACTGTGACGTTTATTTACTCAAGCGAAAGCTATTTCACCTAGTTGTTTGTTTTGATGACTACTTCTGTCTATTATATCGTACAGTTTATAAATTTATTTCTGCATTACTTTTTTCTTGCATTCCAGCCCTGGTTCTATTGAAACACCTATCCATGAAAGGGCTGGTAGGGATATTGTCAAAGTTAGAGAGGTAAGTTGTACTCATGTAGGTAATACTGACAGTATATATAAAGAAAGTAGTTAAATCAGGGAAAAATATAATAAGCTTTACTCCTGTGTATGTGTCTTATGTGCCTGTTTTTTATTAGGCGAGTTTATTTGTGCGAATCGAAAGCGTTGGGTGCATGCGCATTCACACTTCTATCGGGCAAACCTTTGAATGCGCATTAAAACGACATTTTCGATTCGCGTGAATAAAATCGCCTAGTGAAAAAAAGGCTTTAGATCGGACACAAATATTGTTCATTGTGATTGTATTAAGTGTTTATTCTCTTTTTTGTCAGTTGGCAGCCAAGATCCATCCACTTGGTCGAATTGGTCAGAGTGAAGAGGTTGCCAAAGCAATTACATTCTTAGCATCAGATGACGCATCATTCATTACTGGTGATATTCTCTCTGTTGATGGGGGAAGAAATGTACTATGCCCTCGTTGACAGAAACTGGTATTACGGTTTAGGTTGTGAAGTAAAATTATGTAAAAAACTAATAAAATATTCTGTAGTTCGTACTAATCCGAGTTTTGACATTTAATCACACAAGATTTTATGCCTGTCTCTTATACACATCTAGATGTGTATAAGAGACAGGGTTAATTCTGTCAAGTAAGTAAAGTTTAAAGTTGATAGTTAAATTTATTTCATTGCTTAGTT